AGAGAGAGAGAGAGAGAGAGAGAGCGTGCTCACATACTCACGAGCACGTAGGAACATTTCGTGGATGATCCCTGTATTCAACACGGACAAGTCTAGAGCTGGAACAGAGAATGCGGCTACGGGGGTTCGAGCCTCTGAATGAATCTAATAGTGTTGGAAGGGGCGTGAAACCTATACCGTTTTACCATATTTGAAAAAGCTGGAACAAACGTGCCTCAGAATAAAGAATTAGGTTTGGAATCCTTGGCTGGAAATGGTCGCTTTTACGCACAAGTGGGCTATCCCGAAAAATGCTGTTTTGAGAAAATCGAAGGCAAAGTTTTTGACCCTTGTTCAGTTTCTTTAAAAGACAAGGAGAGTTTTCTCTATAAATAACCAAACAAATATAATACACACCAATGAAACCAAACTTCTCCTATAGGTAGGGTAATGCCCACTTTTGGTGTAGTTCAAGATGTCTGGAAAGCCCCGAAATCTGGGTTAGCCCGCTTGTCCTTAACAGCGACCAAATCATACGTCGGGGTCTCTGTCAATGAGTTGTTTTCATTATTTGGTGACTTGTCAATTCCTAGGTTTTTTTATTGGAAAAGGGTGGGGGGGGTGTTGTTTTTTAAACAAATGTAATTTTTTATCTCAGTCCAAATTAACCGCCCCCAGGGCATTGCTACTGACTGAAGTGTCTTTGTGGGTGGTTGAAGGGTGTCTGGTGTGGTTTGCTCCTTCTTTCCTATCTGACGTCTTTTTTCCTTATCTGTCCTTTTTGTGTGTTTGTTACTCCCTTGTCCCGCCTCTAACCTTCGGCACTTATGTGACCGTGCTGTGTTGCAAGTGCCGTAAAACTCTTTCGAAAAAAAAAAAAGAAACGACTTTAGGCCTTTCCCAAAAGGGGAATGTTAACATGTTCTTATGCTTAGTAGAATTGTAAATGGGCTGATTTATCAATGTCATGCTCATACTGTGCGGGAACAACATAGGGGGAACTGCTGCTTTTTCTTTCCTGATCCTCACTATCGTCATTTTTCTTCTACTTCTTTTGTATGTTTGTCACTCTCTTGTGATCCGCTATTTCCGGGGAGCCTTGATAGTCGAAGCAGACCTTGTGCTGTTGAGGCTAGAGAGGTGAGCAGAGTAAGCCTGATTCCCCGTTTGGACTTCTCTGTTGACATCCACCCCTTGGCGCTCATATGACCTTGTGCAGTTGCGAGAGCCGTAAAACCGTATTAAAATCTTCGCTCTTATATGACCGTATTGTGTTGCAAGTGCCGTGAAACTATTACTTAAACTAAAACTAAAATATGAATCAAACGGTGTATCTGCCAATTTCTCACCTGTTTCTCCTTGTTCCAGTCCTGACCGCGGGTGGCAGGAGGGTGTCACTGGTAGGTCCTACT